ATGCCACGACATGGTGCGGGGTCTACCTGTGATCGAGCACGCCCAGCAGCTCTGCGACAGCTGCTTGGCGGGGAAGCAACGGAGGGCCCCGTTCCCGCAGGCGGCGAAGGGGCGCGCGCACGGCCTGCTTGATCTTGTCCACGGTGACTTGTGCGGCCCATAGCGCCGGCCACAACCGGCGGCAAGCGCTACTTTCTCCTCCTCGTCGATGACCTGAGCCGCTACATGTGGCTCACCCTCCTCACCACCAAGGATGAGGCAGCGACGGCGATCAAGCACTTCAAGGCCGGTGTGGAGGTAGAAACTGGGTGGAAACTACGTCTACTCCGCACAGATCGAGGAGGGGAGTTAACGTCCGCAACGTTCACCACGTTCTGTGCCGAGGAGGGCATGGGGCGCCAGCTGACGGCGCCCTACTCGCCGCAGCAAAATGGGGTGGTGGAACGGCGCAATCAGACGATTGTCGCCGCCGCGAGGAGCCTGATGAAGGCAAAGGGGATTCCGGCACGCTTCTGGGGGGAGGCGGTCACCAGCGCAGTTTACCTCCTCAACAGATCACCGACGAAGAGCGTCGACGGGAGGACGCCCTATGAGGTATGGCACGGACACAAGCCTGATGTAAGCCACTTACGCGTGTTCGGCTGTGTCGCACATGTCAAGGTGGTGAAACCACATGCGGAGAAGCTGGACGATCGGAGCACTCCGATGATCTTCCTCGGGTACGAACTGGGGACGGCGGCGTACCACGTCTTCGACCCAGCGCGCAACCGTGTGCACGTCTCTCGCGACGTGGTCTTCGACGAGAGCGCACTGTAGGACTGGGAGGTGAACGAGGCAGCGCCAGCGGGCGTAGAGTTCACCGTCGACTCGTTCTCCTACACGGTGACCCGTACGACAACGCGCCCACCGGCGTGCATAGAGGCTGACGAATCTGCAACACCACTGAAGGCGGACGCCACAGCGAGTCCAGTTGCCGTGGAGCAGGATCGCGCACGCAGCGAGGGCGTACCCAGCCCGTGGCGCGCCACCCCAACGAGCCTAGCCGCCGTGGCCGAACCCGTCGGTGACGCCGGAGAGCGCCGCGACGAGCAAGTGCACGGCATGACAACCCGCGCCCGCGACGGCATCGTGCAGCCAAACCGGCAGTACGAGGACTACGTCATGCTGGCTCACGAGGACGAGCTCTACCTTGGCGAGATCGACGAGCCCAAGACCTTTGCGGAAGCAGAGGAAGGAGCATGGCGCCGCGCCATGGACGAGGAAATGGCATCGATCGTCGCCAACAAGACCTGGCGGCTCACTGAGCTGCTTGCGGGCCACAAGGCCATCGGGCTCAAGTGGGTATACAAGCTCAAGCACGACGCCGGCGGCAATGTTCAGAAGCACAAGGCGCGCTTGGTGGCGAAGGGGTTCGTCCAGAAGCAGGGCGTCGACTTTGAGGAGGTGTTCGCCCCCGTGGCGCGCCTTGAGTCCGTCCGTCTGCTAGTCGCTCTCGCCGCGCACGAGGGCTGGCGCGTCCACCACATGGACGTGAAGAGCGCCTTCCTGAACGGCGACCTGGAGGAGGAGGTGTACGTGTCGCAGCCACCGGGCTACGCCATCGACGGGGAAGAACACAAGGTGCTCCATCTAGACAAAGCCCTGTACGGGCTGCGGCAAGCCCCACGGGCGTGGAACGCCAAGCTGGACCGCTGCCTCCTTGGCCTTGGCTTCACCAGGAGCCCGTCGGAGCACGCAGTCTATGGACGCGGATGCGGGACGGCGCGCCTGCTCGTCGGCGTGTACGTGGATGACCTCATCATCACGGGAACAACGACGACGAGATCAGCAGGTTCAAGGAGGAGATGCAGAAGCAATTTCGCATGAGCGATTTGGGTTTATTAAGCTTCTACCTCGGGATCGAGGTGAAGCAAACGGCGAACGACATCTCCCTCAACCAGGCGGTGTACGCAGGCAAGATCATCGAGAAGGCCGGCCTGGTGGGGTGTAATCCATCCCACACCCCCATGGAGCCGCGTTTCAAGCTTAGCAGGGTGAGCTCTGCTCCAGCCACAGACGCGACGGCATACCGGAGCGTCGTAGGTGCGCTGCGCTACCTGGTGCACACGCGCCCAGACATAGCGTACTCTGTCGGCTACGTGAGCCGGTTCATGGAGGCCCCGACGACGGAGCACCTCGCCGCCGTCAAGCAAATCATCAGGTACATAGCCGGAACGCAGCACTACGGCTGCTTCTATGCCAGAAGGGCGGACGAGGCAACTCTGCTGGGGTTCAGCGACAGCGACATGGCGGGCGACGTCGACACCCGCAAGAGCACAACCGGCGTCCTATTCTTCTTCGGCCGGAGTCTGATCAGCTGGCAGTCACACAAGCAGCGAGTGGTGGCCTTGTCCACTTGTGAAGCGGAATACATCGCCGCTGCAACGGCGGCCTGCCAGGGCGTGTGGCTTGCGAGGCTACTTGGAGACATGAAGAACACGGACGCCGAGCAAGTCAGACTGAAGATCGACAACAAATCGGTGATCTCCCTCAGCAAGAACCCCATCTTCCACGATCGCAGCAAACACATTGACACCAGGTTTCATTTCTTGCGCGAGTGTGTCGAAGACGGGCGTGTGGAGGTAGAGTTCATCGGCACCAACGGACAGCTTGCTGACATTCTGACGAAGGCGCTTGGCCGCGCCAAGTTCCAGGAGCTTCGAGAGGAAATTGGTGTCGTTTTAATTCAGTAGGGGCTCAGGGTTTAGGGAGGCATTTGTTAGTTAAACCCTGACCCAACCCGTAGCTGGACCGGCTTCCCCGGTCCAGACTTTGCTTTCTGCACTCATAAGGCGTCGAGCGCGCGGACTGTGCGCGCCGAGCGCGACTAGGCATAGGTAGTGGCCGCGGTGAGCACGCCCACTCCGCGAACGTGGGATGGCACGTTCAACACGAACGGGGCAGCGGCGTGCGCATCGGCCGGGCCAGTTAGGAGCGATCTGAATAAAAGGAGAAAGAGAACAGAAAAGCAGCATCAGTTGTGCGCTGCGCAAAACACTTGTCCCTGTGAGTTCATTGAGAGCAGTGAGGGAGAGAACGAGCGCGGCGGCAGCCTGACAGTGAAGAAGATGCTGGCGCGGCAGCTAGCCGCCATGACTGCAAGGATTCACTAACGTCAAGGAGAAGTGAATGTGCTCATGGTTAATCACGCGGACCGTCAGTGCCAGGCGATAAGAGGGAGCTACATGGCGACTACAGCTCCTAAGGCGGGCTCTAACGGTGGTGAAATGTTGAAATCGACACATACAATTTAGCTTAATGGTCAAGCATCGCCCTTGGTCTCTGACAAACCTAGAGATATTACTCTCCTGGCTATTCCGGATGTCTCTCGTTCCCATGCACACGTTGTGACATCTTCTAATTCTTCTCTCATTCTACACTCAATTTGATCGTCTCATCACCATATATCTAGTGTATTAGGCTAGTGCTACCAAAATGTTAAAATGAACAGAACGACAATGGTCCATGGAGTGGCATATATATATACAAGGAAAGCATCATTCACATGAGCGACGGTTGGTGAACATTCAATTATTTTGCCGGTCGAATGCACACGAACTAGAAACTTATAATGGATAGGCTAGTAAATGATATTTCAAAGAGGACATTATAAATATGAATCGTAATTTGTGTCCTCGAAGGGTTCAACTCAGATGCTCTCACCCGAGTGAGCTACCCTCATCTTTTGTATGGGCTAAGGGCAACTTTAGCAGAGTCGTCATATGTCCCCGATAGCCATAATAATTGTTAATATGATGATTTTAAACCAAAATGACACTATAGCATAGTCACCATATGGGTGTCAACGGCATAATTTATGAAACTCGCTCCATAAACAACCTCATAGCCTTCATATTTGGAGGCTGGGGAGCCCCAATATGAAGCTTGCTCCATACCTAGCCGCCAGCGTGGGAGGGAAGTTTCAGCTTCCTCCTCATGCCACAGCCGGGTTTGAAGCAGCGTTCATAATTTAGAAGCATGTCATAATTTAGAAGCATGTCATGTTCTGATTAATCACCAATGAGTGGGGCGACGTGACCAGTAACCACTTGTCCATTAATAATCACCAATGAACGGGGTGACGTGACCAGTAACCACTTGTCCATTAATGACCTCCACCGCTCTCCCCATTTGCCAAATAGGGAGACAAATTCCACAAAATGCAACATAAGCTGAGCGTACCAGGCGTACAGTTACTTCATAGCAGCCAGGCCCGGTTTTCTTCTTCACCAGCAGTGAAGACGGCGGTGGTAGCGCTAGCAATTGAAGCCAGTGGTGTTAACAGCTCAAAACTGCACATGTATGTAAACATATACACTTAAACATACCCGGGGTCAACTTCTAAGCACATTTCTGTGATGTCGCTCGACATCACAGACTACATGTAGCTTCGCCACTGTCAAGACGACAGAACAGTGGACATAAGGAAAGTACCCAACCGACGAGCCACATTGCCTCAATTCTGCCGCTTGCGGTGGACCGTTTAATCGACTCAGAAAGTAGTGCCGCCTGCAATGGTGTTCCTCCGAACCTGGGTGAGCAGCGTCATGTCCCTCTCTTCTCCGACGGCGATGGTCTTCTTTGCACCAGGTCCTCTAGAGGGCGTGCTTGTAATCTTCTTTCTTTTATTGAGGTCCTTTCTGCAGTTTGTGTTGCGGCACCTTCTTTCTGGTTTCCTTTTCTGGGTGCGTACATGTTTGGGTTCTGTAACTTTTGACTTTGAAAGAACAGGCGTCATAATCTATGTCAAAAAAAGAAAAGAAAAATGTATCAGAGAGCGGGTCAAATCTTATCATGAAGATTAATAAAGGAACGAGAGGGACAGAGAGGGAGGGGTGGTTAATCAGTCATACAAACCATTAGACTACCTGCAGGGAACGAGGCAGCGGCAATATTTGGTGCAATGATTTAAGGTGAACCCTCCAACAGACGCAGAAGCAGAATCAATTCCTATCCTCGCCATGGCGCCCTTGGCTTCCAAAATACTTGACTCTCTCACCATACTGATGATGTGCACCACCGCACTCGTCTCAGCCGCTGGAGCGCTGCCATCACTTGAACAACAAGCAGGGGCACTTCTTGCCTGGAAAGCCAGCCTCAGTCAGCAAAGCCAAGACGCCCTGCGATCCTGGAGAAACATCTCAGCACCTTGCCGTTGGCAAGGCATCCGGTGTGATGGACGCCGGCCGGTGATCGCCGCCATCTCCCTGCCGGGGATACGGCTGAGAGGGACACTTGAGTCTCTTGACTTCTCGGCTTTGAGGACCTTGGTGGCCCTTGAGCTCTCGCACAACGAGCTTGCTGGGAGCATCCCTGTGAATATTAAGCTCCTCAAAGAACTCCATGCTCTCCTCCTGCATGACAATCAGATAAGAGGTTCAATACCACCTGTTTTAGCAAATCTCACGAAACTGCGTCTCCTAATGCTCCATGACAACCAAGTCTCCGGTGAAATACCAAGGCAAATAGGCGAGATGGGTAATCTTGTGAGCCTGAACTTGTCAAACAATTACTTAGTTGGTCCTATCCCTTGTGAAATAGATCACCTTAAGCATTTGCTTAAATTAGATTTGTCCAGCAATGACCTTTCCGGACCAGTTTCCTTCAGTCCAGCTAACTCATCCATCAAAATCCTATGAATAATTTTTCATCTCAGCCTACTGCAAAAGTAAACTTAGAAAACATAAATATGCTATCATTATCCCGTAACAACTTAAGTGGTCCCATTCCCAAAGATATAGTGAAAATTTTCAACCTACAACACTTAGACATAAGCCAAAACAACTTTTCAGGTTCAATCCCAAGCAATATAGGTAACCTGACCAAACTCACTACCTTGTACCTTTACCATAACCAACTTTCTGGACACATTCCTCGAGAACTAGGTTATTTAGTGATTTTAGAGGACTTGAGGCTCAATAACAACACACTATCTGGTTCCGTTCCAAGCAATTTATGGAATTTGACCAAACTTACTACCTTGCACCTTCACCGTAACCAACTTTCTGGACAAATTCCACTGGTTTTGGGATATTTGGTGCACATAGAGGACTTGCGGCTTAGCTACAACACACTAACAGGTTACTTTCCAAGAAATTTGTGTAATTTGACCAAACTCAAGATCTTGTACCTTGGCCAGAACCAACTTTCTGGAAAAATTCCTTGGGAACTAGGTTATATGGTGAATTTAGAGGACTTTCAGCTCAGTTTGAACAACCTAACAGGTCCTATCCCAAACAGTTTAGGCAATTTGACTAAGCTTGCCTTCTTAAACCTTAATTTCAACCAATTTTCTGGACACATTCCTCATGAAATTGGTGAGTTGATGAATCTGGAAATGTTTGGAGTCTCTTTGAACAATCTATCTGGTGCATTGCCATCGGGTCTTTGCGCGGGAGGCCGACTACAGTTTCTTACCGCTAATGGCAACAACTTGGTTGGACCCTTGCCAACAAGCTTGCTAAGTTGCAAAAGCCTAGTCAAACTTCGTCTTGAAGGAAATCAGCTTCAAGGAGATATCTCCGAGATGGGGCTTCACCCTAATCTTGTCTATGTTGATATCAGTTCAAACAAACTATTTGGTCAATTATCTCATCGCTGGGGTGAGTGTTACAAACTTACGATGCTACGTGCTTCAAACAACAACATTACTGGAGTCATACCACCAAGCATAGGGCAGTTATCTCAGTTGGGGATACTTGATGTTTCAGCAAATAAACTTGAAGGGCAGATTCCACTGGGGACTGGCAATTTAACGGTGCTGTTCAACTTGAGCCTCAGTAATAACCTGCTCCAAGGAAGTATACCTAAAGATATTGGATCGCTAAATAATTTGGAGTACTTGGATTTATCATCAAACAACCTAAGTGGGATGATACAAGGGTCAATTGAACATTGTCTCAAGCTTCACTTCCTGAATTTGAGCCATAAATCATAATCGCCTCAATGGCAGCATTCCAATCGAACTAGGAATGCTGGTAAACCTACAAGAATTGTTGGATCTAAGTGATAATTCATTTGCTAGTGTCATTCCGAGTCAGCTGGGTGGTTTGAGCATGCTCGAAGTTTTGAATCTTTCACACAATGCATTGAAAGGTAGCATCCCACCATCATTTCAGCGCATGTTCAGCCTCCTATCCATTGATGTGTCATTCAACAAATTGGAAGGGTCAGTGCCACAGAGTAGGTTGTTTGAAGAAGCTCCAATCGAATGGTTCATGCAGAATAAGCAATTGTGTGGTGTAGTGAGAGGTTTGCCCCCTTGTGACCTTACTGAAAGTGGTGGACGAAAAAAGAAGCCCAGAGCTATTTTACTAGCTATAATACCTGTAGTTGTATCTTTTCTGTTTATCATGGCACTATTAACTTTGCAATGTAAACGGAGGAAACCCAAGGTGGAATGCGCAAATGAGTTGCAACAGACAAAGCTGTTCGCCATCTGGAACTTTCATGGAGGAGATATGTACAGGCAAATTGTTGACGCCACAGAAAATTTTAGTGACGCTCACTGCATTGGATTTGGAAATAGTGGATCAGTATATAGAGCTCAGTTACCAACATGCGAGATATTTGCAGTAAAGAAGATTCATACAATAGAAGAGGATGAGCTATTTAATCGTGAAATAGATGCCTTGATGCATATTCGGCATCGCAATATTGTGAAGTTATTTGGCTACTGTTCTGCTACTCAAGGAAGATTTCTTTTGTATGAATACATGGAAAGAGGAAGCTTAGCAGCATCTTTAAGGACCAAGGAAACTGCAATAGAGTTGGACTGGACAAGGAGGTTAAATATTGTTCAGGATGTGGCCCATGCTTTGTCTTACATGCATCATGATTGCTTTGCGCCGATAGTCCATAGAGATATAACAAGTAACAACATTTTGCTTGATCTGGAATTTAGAGCATGCATCTCTGATTTTGGTATTGCCAAAATATTAGATGTGGATGGGTCAAACTGCACAAGGCTTGCCGGGACAAAAGGATATCTTGCACCAGGTACAATAATATATATATATATCTATGTCGGTTAAATCAACGTGTTGTACGTTTATTTTTGTCACTTCGATGGATGTCTTGCATAGCGTTATATATATTTTCAGATCAATAATGAAATGATTAGCGTAGATCTTCATAAATGTGTCAGGAAGTAGAGTATTACTTATTGGTTTGTGTAAATGAAACCAATTATACAGTCAAAAACCAGTATATTACATATCTTTTTATCGACCATACTATGTTTGTCTCTGGTCTCTACAATCTACATACGAGAACTCTCCCGGATGCAAATGGTTAGTACCATGGTTGGTGGACTAGCCAGCCCGGGTTTGAGCCACGCCTTCTTACTTTAGTGTGACAGGGAACAAGTCTTATTATCCCTTCACCCCGCTTTTTTCAGTACATACATACAAAAAGGTTATTAAAATTAACTCTTCATTGTTGGCTTGGCAGAGCTTGCATACACAACAAGGGTGACGGAGAAGTGCGACATCTATAGTTTTGGAGTGCTTGTGCTCGAGTTGTTCATGGGACATCATCCGGGTGATTTTCTTTCGTCCCTCTCGTCCATGGACAAGAAAAGTACAATACCCAAGTATTTGCTGGACACCCAGCTCCCATTGCCTAAAGCTGAGATTGCAAATGAAATATTCAAAGTGATTTCCATCGCTGTTCGGTGCATAGAACCTGACCCATTACACCGTCCAACGATGCAGGATGCAATCAAGGTGTTCTCTGCAGATGAAGGACCCAGTAATCTTGATTACCTGCACACTGAAATCGTCATCCCTGCTTGTGGTTTTGAATGTTCTTAGCACATTGGTGTTTCTTCCGTTGCACCTTTTGATCAGAGACTATAATTAGTCATTTCGATCATAGATTATTTTGGCTTTACCCTCAAAGATTGTACAATAGGAGTACTATAGTTTAAGCTGATCAGTCCTAGCTGGTTGGCTATTTGCTACTTCTAGATATTTGTATAGCAATGCAGATCAACTTTTTGCTACTAGTTACTAGCTACTAGCTAGCTGTAAATATTTATATAGCTGCTCGTGCTATTTCTTCAAAAGAACAAATAAATATTCCATTTGCATCCTCTTATTGATTAACTGCGATCCAATTCAAGTCAACTGGTTATTTCCTATATCTTCACCGCCATGGCATACTTTATTGCCGGCCGGTGAGCTCATTCACGCTCTTGGAAATGCTCATTATCAAATGGAGGCCTCCTGGTGCGTTTCTTCTAGTGGAATTCAGATTGACAGACTTAATCTAGCCTGCAAATTGCTACAGGTAAGCAATTGGAATTTGATTGTTCAGGTAATCATTGATCTGCTACCGTAAAGATGGACTATTTTTTTACTGTTATTATTAGCAATTTAGCATGTGCTAGTTTTCAGTTTTACACCAGCTTATATCCCATTAGGGCGTCTCCAATGTACGTCGGCCATAACTCTCAAAAGGTGGACCTTAGACTAATTTACACATTGAGGAGATCGACTGTAAGGGCGTCTCCAATGTGGCCATAAAGTCGTCCGTAAGGCACCTTAAGTCAACCTTAGGCGACTTTAGACATTGTGAGCACATGAATCAGCAGCGCCTATAACTACCCCAAAACCACCTCATAACTACTACAAAAAATACCGCATGCAAAAACATACATACAGAATATGGCCCAGTTGTACAATAAATCTAGAATTTAAACTCAATGCTTAACATCCAACAAAATATATAAAACATGACAAATTCTACAAATAACAAAACGGAGATACAAAAGTGTACCGAAACAATTGTTTGCTTCATCTGTGCGTCCCGTGACCTGATCAACTGTAGAAGAAGAACCAACACCTTCAAGACATCAACGGTATAATTTCATAAGAAAAGGCATAAGCATCAAGTGAAGTAATTATCATTGATACAAATCTGAAAACTTACCACTACAACGAGGTAAAAACCCCTTTGCGAGACCTATAGGACTGAAAACGATATCAAATGTCATTATCATCAATACTTGCAAATACACTCCCAGACTCCACTGAGCTGAAGGAATAGAGTGTAGACACTCCCGCTGCGGGCACTGATGAAAAAAAATCCTCTTCATCTTCTATTTCTACAGCATGAAATGAAATTGATAAGGGGTAAGAAAACGCATCGATTCGAGTTCAATTCAATACATACGCATCTGTATTTCAACTGAATCTAGCTTCAATGCACAGATTCAGAATTCCCGCAAAAAATAAAAAATGCACAAATTCAGAAATTACCTGGTGTCCCACTCACAGTCCAGGAAATTACCGAGTCGGCGAGGCGAGCAGCAGCAGCGGTGCGCAGAGTAGCTGAGCGAGGAGTCGGAGTGGGCGCTCCTCGGCTTTGGCGGCGCAGCGGAGGCAGGGGCCGGAGGCGGCGGTGCGGCAGCTGACTGCCGAGGCCGAGGGGAGGGAGCGCGAATCGGTCCCGGCGCTCCTCGACTTGGGCGGCGCAACGGAGGCAGCAGTCGCACGGGAGCACAAGGGCGAGATGCGGCGCGAGCATGCCCTGCCCTGCGTGCTGGAGCGATGTTTTTTTTTTGACGGGTTGCTGGAGCGATGTTTAGAAGGGAGCTCCTTTTGCTTTCTTTTTTCAGACATTTCTTTTTCTTTTTTTAACATCAATCTTTTTTTGAGAATCTTTTTTTTACATGAATCTAAGGGAGGTCCTCGTTAGGGCCTTCGGCGCGCGCACAGCTGGGCCGATGGCCCGGCTCGCTCGCTGCAGTTTCAGCAAAAACTAGCAGCTACTGGTTTAGAAGAAAACAAAACGACTCTCTGGTTCTTTATAGATTGTATATTTGTACTTCGAATAAATGTTCATGGATTTAAATAAGTCCGTGAATTTGAAAAAACTTCAGTACTTTTAAAAATTCGAAAATTTGAAAAATGTTCATGAACTAAAAAATGTTCACAAGTTTGAAACAAAATATGAATTGGAAAGGTTCATGAAGAGAAAAGTTCACGAATTTTAAAAAACATAAATTTTAATATATTTATCCTTTGAAAAAATGTTCATGAACTTGAATTTTTTTTCATCAATTTAAAAATGTAAATGAACTTCAAAAATAAAAAGGAAAATGAAAACAGGAAAATAAGAAATATACCAGTGAAAACCTTGACAAAAAACCAGAAGAGGAAAAAACCCAACAGGAAGGTTCTGAAATTTTCACAAACCCGGTTGAGAGAACCTTTACATGAGCAATCCTACTTCAAAGAGCGTTCGCTGCTAGGTGTGAGTTGCATGCGCTGGTGGGAGCTCCACGTTAGCGCCTTTTGCGCCAAATAGACCCTATAGTGCAACTAGGTCGCCGGCTCATTATCGCAATCCGATCGCTCGTCCGCTCGTCGCGACTGAATCACCTACACGCCCACTCGCCCTAATGAATCATGTAGTTATGATGTATAAATTGCCCTAAAAAAATTATGAGATAAATATTCCAGATCCACAACCGCAGAATCCCTAAAATAGCGCTCTCTATCCTTGTCCCATATGAGTGCCTACTTGGGGGAGTGTGACTCAGGAACCCTTAGACACACAGACTCAAAAAGATCCAATATGTAAACATACAAACAGTGATTGGATCCATGAAGATTCAACAAGTCATGTTGCGAGCCATGAGTTTAAAACATCTGTTTCAGCTCTCCATTTTGAAATCTATTTTTTTCTAGATTAAAGAAAAAAAATTGGGATATGATAAACATCCATTATCTGTTTTTCAGATTACCACTCTGATGATCAATCCAAATTACCATGTAGCAGGGTACCTCAACGAGCTTTCTTCAAATGGCAAGGTTTTAGCCACCAATAATACATGACTGGCTAGTAATTAAAACGATCAACGGCAAGCCTCATAACATTGTACTCTCGTGAAGATCGACAAATACATATTTGCCTTCGGACTCTTTGTCCCGTGTCTCCAACGCTGCTCCCGATGTCTTCTGTTCCCACTGGTTCTAACATTCTGTTGTTTCTTCTCTCATTCTCTACTCAATATGTATTTGTGACCATCACCCATTTGATTTTCGAAGCTAGTGCTACCAACACTAAGAAAAGTTCTATCAACATCTTATAAGATATAAAATGGACATGCAAAGGTTGTAATCTGCTGGAGGAAGATGCAGTGGTGTATATAAAGGGCTATGGCCTAAAAGCATTATTAATGCAAGCAGAAAAGGTTGGTAGGCATTCATTATTTTCCCATAAGCTGAATGGCATGGGGAGCATTAGTTATGATAGTAACCAAAAATTCTGAAAACACGTTTATCCTTCAATTATCCGCCCAACTCTATATTTGGTGTCTAAGAACAAACTGGATGGTGGTTTTCGCTAACGAGGAAAGCTTAGTAAGCAGGAAAAAAGAAAATTAGAAATCAACCTGTGAAGTTTATATCTTCCTGGCCTTTGGGCGTGTAAGATAGCTTGTACACATCACACTTTTTCAATAAATATATAATCAACATGATGCAAGTCTTCTGTACTTCTTTTGCAAAAAAAAAAGAACTGCCAAAAAAGAAAAAAGCAAAGAAGAAAATCACAAACCTAATACAGAAAATAAAATCGCTCACACATGAAGGGGCACTTATAATCCACATAAGGTTAAATATAGAGTGTAACCGAATTTGTTCACTTTCCGTATTTTTCGTGAGTGTTCATAGATAATTTTAAGTTATTTTAATTTAATAGCTTCATAATTATTTTAATATTTTCTTTTCAATACTTCAATCTTCTTCATCTTAGTATTCCATCATAAAATCTTTGGTCCTTGAAATATTAGAAAAATATGAAAAGTTCAATACTTCCATGAGGGAGATCAGAAAATATATGCATCAGCTCCAACAATAATACATAGGAGTATGTACTTAGGACCTCTACGAGTCGAAAGATTTCATAATGAAATTTTAAGATCAGAATAATTAGGGATTTTTGCTATATGGGTCTGCTGGTTTTGTAGGATTGAGTCCTATACATTTTCTTCCTAATATTTTCTTTGTTCGTTGAGTAGTATGTATTGAAAATATTTTTTTCATATGTTATAATCAAATAATCTATAATTCATTGTGAATTCGACCATTTAGTAGGAATCGTTTGCACATCTTAAAATTTTGCTTTTTTTTCATTTTCATACTTTTTTTAATATTATGGATTGAATAGGCCCTTAATTAACGCAGATCTTTCCGATGATGAGCACTGGTGTGATTAGTTTTGAAGAGGTGTGCATAACATGCAATGTGACACCATGCAATTCCTCATGAGTTTGAATTTCTTATTGAAAATTTCATGTTCTAAGCTGGTAGAGAAAACATAAGATATAATTATTAACCAAAAATAGAGAAAATTTCTTTTACATCCAAGTAACATTTTTTTAGAACGAAAACGCAAACAGTGTCCGGATTCAATTAATAAAGCCCAAAATAAGCAAAGTACATGAAGCCCAACACAAACCTAAAACATACCAAGGGAGTTCAATCAAGTTAAAGATAATTCTAGAGGATTACAAGACTAGGAACGCCCAACAAGAGCACGCAGGCTCTGAACGGAGTACCGGCGATGCTATGGATGTGGTGTAGCTTGTTCAGTGCCCGCTGCATGTCCTCAGTGTCCCCATTCTTCCCCAATGATGCCCATTGCTAAAAGAAGAGAATGCATTTGAAAGGACCGGGTGAGCCAGGAAAATGGCCTTGATAGTAATTTTGTTGCGGATATGCCAAAGAGCCCACAGAAGTGCCCCAACACAATGTCATATCGTGCCCGGAATCGACCCACACAGAGCTGAGACGATGATCGT